AAGTTTAAAATTGACTTTAAAGTTTAAAGTTTAAAGTTTATATTGAATTTAAAGTTTAAACCTTAAAATTCAATTTTATATTAAAGTTTAAACTTTAAACTAATATTAAAATAGTTGAAAATTAAATTTCTAAAATGACTTGGATTAAATATAAGAGACTATTTTAAAAGAAAATCAAGGCGAATAGCCGTATATTTATTCAAATAAATAAATTGTACAATACAAATATTAGAAAGAGACAAAGAGTACATAATCTAGGTATTGAATATTAATTATTGTACTAACAATTGAAACTTTTTTTAAAATCTTTTCGTAACTTTTGTATCATTTCAAAAGAAACATTTTTTGGAACTTGTATTTGTCGTTCTTCTTCCATTGCTTCCATGTCATCATCACTATTATCACCAAATATTTCATCTATTTCGTCTTCTATTTGGCTATTTAATTGTGGTAGTCCGGTATTTCTTCTTTCGGCATTGACCCAATCTCGAAACAACACCGATATTTCCAAACTATCCTTTGCTAATGAATATCGATGATCTCCAATCATAAATCTCGCCGCACTAAAGGCTTGCTCTGAAGCGACCGATGATGCTTGAATCGCTAGCACATCTCGAACAATCCTAGCAAGGGTCGGAAATTGATTTTCACGATTCTTCCACCATACTAATATTGGAGCTTGAAGTTGTCCTTCTTCATGCCTAATCTTTTCCCGTGCCTGATTGAAATATAAATCAAAATCATTATTAGTAGATGATTCAAGCTCAAGATAATCATCCATCCAATCATCCGTATCATCGCTTCTAGGTTTACAAGATGGAGGTTCAACTATTGGAATATTTTTTTCCATAGATTTATATGTATTATATAACTCTCTAGCTTTTATATATATGCTACTTTTACAATCTTCAACACTAGGAGTTTCATCATCTTTAATTTCTAAATTTGCATAAATCTTTTCAACCATTCTTTCAACACCTTTTAATTTGTAATTTGGGTTGAAAGTAGTAGTAGTCAAATAGATTTGAGGAATAGGGAAAAAATATTTTTTGAATTTTTCAATCATAAAAGCAAGGGAATTTTCAAATCGATCTTTTCCTTTATATTTTGCAAATTCAGATGAAATAGCACAAATATTTACTAAAACAGAAGAAATAGTTGGATAATATTGACCAGAAGCAGCATTTGTTGCTTTATAAAAAACACTTAAAAATTCAATAAGTTCTTTTGTATTTTCCCAATCTTCATAGCCAATTCTCAAATTCGGGTCCGCATTATGAGCATTAAAAACTAATTGTACCGGCTCTTGATAAATATAAGCAACTTGAAGCATTTCAAATAAAGAATTCCATCTAGTGCATACTTCTTTTGGAACTTTTCTATATTCAAGTCCACATTCTTTACAACGATTTTTAAATTCTGTAATTCTAGCTTTTATTTTAGCTTTAAAAATCCAATTACAAGCAAGTCTAATTTTTTCACAAGAAATTCCAAATTGAGAAATACCATCTTTTACTATCAAATTATACACATGTGCGGCACACTTAATATGAAAAGAATCATTATCAATTGGACAAAGTCTACATTTTAAATAATCAATTGCTTTCAAATTATTAGAAGCATTATCTAAAGTGACACTCATTATTTTATCACATATTCCATAAAATTGTAAAACAAGGCCTATTTTTGTTGCTATATAAGCACCGGTTTTAGTTTCTTCAACATATTTATATCCTAATATTTGTTTTTTCATGTTCCATTCATGGTCAATCCAATGGACAGTAATTGTAAAATAATCATTACCATTAGGACTACGTCCCATATCAGAAGTAATAGATAATCTACCATCATAATAAGCAAATAAACAACGAAGAAAATGACAATATTCTTTTTGATATTTAAAAAGATCACTTTTAATTGTACTTCTTGGAATACCTTCATAATCTGGGTTATACAATTCCCGAATATACTGAATAAAACCAGGATGTGAAGGAAATGAAAAAGGCAAACCACAAACAGCAACCATTTTAGCTAATTCTCTACGATCTTTTTCTTTACTATATGTGCGGTGTGTGCTTCGGCTAGCCGGGTTAGTCATATTTAATTCATTTTGAACCATATTAGAACCTCCAGCTCCCATAGAATTTTCAGGTTGAGGTATTCCATTTCTATTAGCCCTTTCTATATCATCTAGGCGAGCAAATTCTTTATTACACTTTCTCAAATGTGTTCTTAGTCGTCCCGTTCCCCCTTGTGTACCCGTAGTTACATGTTTCATGATCAATTTACATTTCGTGCAAGTAACAGTAGTTTTTTCCTCATTTTGTACCAAAAATTTCCATACTAAAGATCTTTTAACACGTACAACGGTCTTTGAAAAAGTAGGTAAAGAGGGGCTTCATCTTGTTCCAGTAATTCGGTAGCCGGACTAGTAGGGGTAGGGGTCTCATCATCTTCCTCATTTATTTCTACTTCCTCATCTAATTCTTCCTCAAAATTAGTAAAACATCTATTTAAAGTTTCATGATCTACTTCATTTTCGGAATTAAATTCAATAGGTCGTGAGTCTCGTGTAAAAGAAGTTTCATCAACATGAGTATAATCATTAGTATTAATTCTAAATCTAGGTGCCAAATTTTTAGAATTAGAACTACTTCCTCCTCCCCTATTATTTTTTCTTTCCGACATTGGTCTTTTACCACTATATTTTTCCAAATTCATGTTCAAGTTTAAAATAATTAATATTATGAAAAACAAGCAAAGATAATATAACAAAAAAATAAAATAACTTAATTAATAAACAAATAAAAAATTAAAGTTGGAACGAATGTACCGAACGTCTACGTAAAAGTAGACGTATAACCAAAGCCGGAATTGAGAGATGCCAATTGAAGCTTCCGATTTACTTCAAATAAATCTCCGAAATTCGAACTCCAAGTCAATATCACAAAATAATAATTATGAATTTATGAGAGATTGAAAATTAAGAGATTTTATAAGATATTAATGAAATAGTTTGTGAATTTGTGATTTAAATGAAAAAATATGAGTATATTTATAGTGTTAAGGGGTAGAGAGGGGTGGGGGGCTGTTTGGAGCCGTTTTGGGCCCCAGCCCAACGGCTCCTTAACGTTCACATTTTAAAAAAAAAAAAAAATTAAATTGACCGTTGAACCGGACCGGAACCGGATCAACCGGATAAAAATCCGGGTTCCGTTTCGGTACCGGTTCCGGTACCTATAAGACCGGTTCCTTACCGGTACCGGTCTTACCGGTACGGGAACCGGACCGGACCGGACAAAAACCAGTCCGTTTGCCAGCCTTAGTTTAGATACATATATCTCAGATACATGCTAAGCAGATACATCTAATTATATGTATCTAAATATGGAAGGTAACGTAAACACATCAATTTAGGAGGAAATCACGCGTTTTCCTATTAATTTCTTCTCCAATTCTTCCATGGATTTCCTCTCCCAAAAATTTCAAAAAATAATAAATTTCTTCTCATTTTTTTGAGCATCAGAAATTTTTTCTTATAGGTACATAATCTTAATTCAGATACGTTTGGACTTCATCAGATACGCTTTAATTAGATACATGTATATACACATACAACTAACTAGACACATATTTTTACCGCCATCTCTCTTCCCTTTCCCCTTCGTCTCTCTCATCTTTGGCAATAGAAAAAGTGGCCATTGATGCCACTAGTAAGAAAATAATAAGTATTTTGCTGTCAAATCAGTCCAATATCATACAAAAGTTTGATTCTTCAAGTTATAATTAATTAGATATTAGACTTCCGCATGTTGATAGTCTTAGAGAAGACACGCCCATTGATGCATTCTTCTGCTCCAGTGGAGGAGTCATCATTGTCCCGAGAGTATTTTGGGATGCGATGGGAGGGGAAGGATTAGGAGAGAGAGTAGGTTGATCATTTGGAGTGATGATAAATTAGGGGAGAGGGGATGACGTGAGAGATAATTTGAATTGCTAATCAACCATAAATTAAGGAATTTGAATTTTAAGATAATTATTCAACACCATATTTAAGGAACTTGTATATCTGATTAAATTTTTTCAAATATATGATATAAATATTAAAAGTGATATTATATGTAATTATTTTAAACTAGAGGTAAAATAAGTATATATGATAGTGAAGTATGTTTAGATAAGTAGTTTTTCCTTAAATAAATAAAGAAAAAAAGTTATGATATCACAAAAAATGTATTTGCACAATTTTTTCTTGTATACGTAAACGCAAATTACATCTCTAATAAATTTAAAATATTTATACATTAGAAACACAATTTTTTGCAAGAATTATTTCGATAAAACAAAATCTGGTCATGTAATCAAACTTACTTATGTTAAAAATAAATAATTAATACCTCTTTGACACGATTGCGAAGTTTGAATGATTTTCTGAATTATCATTGGTTTGAGACCTAAATAATCAGTCAGAAAAAAAAATTAAAGTTATTAATAGTGGTCATGATTTGTAAAAGAGGTTGTGCAATAATTTTGTAATATTTGGGTGGCGACTGATGATAAATGTGTTTTGATTGAGAATTGATAGAAGCTTTATAATACTCTAAATTAAATTTTAAAAAATAAAAATGAAACAAACTTACATTGTTGAATCAAGAAAATAAGAGAGAAAATCAAAGAGCAATGACTTCACAGACGAATAATCAGAAGAACTTACAATAGAGTATAACAATAAATGGTCATACGGATCTTATTTATAATGTTCAAAATTTAATTAACTTTCCATGTGGATTGATTTCTCAAGATTTACTTAATGAATTGAATAGAGAATATATAAAGTCAAACTAAATTTTAGTAATAACTTAATGGTTGTGTGAAACTAAATTGAGAAATTTAATTAAATTTCACTAGTTTATGAACTAATTACTTAGATACACTCTAGTTTACAATATTACGTATCTTATCATATTTTTGTGCGTCTAGATACATGTATCTCAGGATACATGGGGTTAATTTTGTTCTAGATACATTGTATCCAAGTGAATTCATATGTATCTGAGATGAATAACAAATCTCGCTCGCCTCCCTCACATCATTCCATCTCGCTCGCCACTCTCATATGTATGTAGTATCTCATATACATGTGAATCACACCAGATACATGTATATAGAGTGTATTTAGTGTGATTCACATGTATATGAGATACATAACAAAATATCGTTTGCCTCCTCCCAATCTCGCTCGTCTCACTTTCTATTTTAGTGTATCTGGTAGTAAAAATACATGTATCTAAGTGTATATTTCTCAATATATGATAGAAATTTTTTAATTAGTGATATGATACGTGACATTTTTAAAGTATAGTTGATAAGAGTATATATGATAGTGAAGTATATCTATAGTTTCACCAACTAAATATTATAACTAGTGATATGATACGTGACATTTTAAAAGTATAGATGATAATAATATATATGATACTGCAGTAAATCTAATTATGTAGTTTGTCTAACTAAATATCTATAATAATCATATGATCAGTATATTAGAAAAATAGAATTTCTAGAAAAAAATCATAACTTATTTTATGGTATAATAGATAGGAATGACTGAATGAGAACCAAACAATTCATGGTCCTAAATATTTCGATCAACTGGTTTATAATATGTGTATCAAGTCTATAAGTTATGATAATTATCAGATATGCTATATACATAAATGTATGTATTTATGTATATATGTGTGTGTGCGTGAGCGCTATATATATAATATACATATTTATACACAGTATATACATTATTAATGTATAATATTATGTATATTTCAACTGTATAAATAAGCTAATTGACTGAACGATATATATTAACAAAATTTTCAGTAAAAATTTTCTTTATACATGAAATTAATATAGCAAAAAAAAGCCTACTTAAAAAAAGTTAAAAGACCTAAATACAAAATATTGTCAGAATAATCTAAGAATTTTCTTCGTTTTAATTTATGTGACTTGATTCTGAGTTGAATAACATCAAACTAACTATTTTTTTTGTGTGTGTGTGAATTTTTGAATAGGTGCAAAACCAGTGGATGTGGACTTAAAGCAACAGAAAGCAACAGTAACAGGATTTGTGGAGCCAAAAAAGTGTTTAAGGCAGCACAATCCACTGGTAAAAAATGTGAAATTTGGCCATATGTGCCATATAGTATGGTGGCACATCCTTATGCTGCTGGTGTTTATGACAAAAAGGCACCTCCTAATTTTGTAAGGGCAACTACTGATCCTTCTGTTGCTCACTTAAATCCTGTTGAAGAACAATATTCCCTTATGTTTAGTGATGAAAATCTAAATGCTTGTAATATTATGTAGTAGTTAATTATAAGTTTTTTTTTCTTTGTTATAAAGTATACTTGATCCTTTGTGTGTATTTTTATTATAAGAAAAATTGGTTACTGTGTAAAGAATTTTGATTTGTGAATTAAAAGGAGTTAATATCTCAGATGGTCACTCAACTAAGCACTCTTTGCTCAGAAAGTCACTCAACTTTGGTTTTTAACTCAAAAGTTACTCAATTATGAGTTCTTTTCTCAAAAAGTCACTAAACTTTAGTTTTTATTTCAAAAGTCACTCAACTATGAGTGTTTCACTTACAAAGTCACTCAATCTATTTAAAAGTATATATCATGATTGAATTGAGTGGAAAGTCTAATAAGAGGAGTTTGAATTTTATGAGTATTGAGTGGAAAGTCTAATAAGAGGAGTTTGAATTTTATGAGTATTGAGTGGAAAGTCTAATAAGAGGAGTTTGAATTTTATGAGTATTGAGTGGAAAGTCTAATAAGAGGAGTTTGAATTTTATGAGTATTGAGTGGAAAGTCTAATAAGAGGAGTTTGAATTTTATGAGTATTGAGTGGAAAGTCTAATAAGAGGAGTTTGAATTTTATGAGTATTGAGTGGAAAGTCTAATAAGAGGAGTTTGAATTTTATGAGTGTTTGTTTGATTGAATTGATCAGTTTGCGTAGGAACGAGGTTTAAGTCTATCAGTTTATGATATATATCATTGCGCTTTTACTTGACATCTATCGTATGACAAATGACTCGTTTCGTAGTGAACTTCTCTTAAATTTTATCGTAATGATAAATGACTCGTTTTACCGTAAACTTCTCTTGAATTCTAAAAGAAATTTAATAATTTGAGAACCTATTAATTTTAATAATAATTCTGAATCCCGCTACTTTGTAAGAATATTATACTAAATATGTTGTTATTTTAGTTATTGATAATTCATAGCTTTCAATTAATTCATAGGTAGTAGGAGAAGAGATGGGTGTATAATATAAACCCTTAAATATCGATCCGATTAATTTAAATTTGTATAAAGTCACTCCCGCTACTTTGTGAGAATATTATACTAAATATGTTGTTATTTTAGTTATTGATAAATCAGAGCTTTCAATTAATTCATAAGTAGTAGGAGAAGAGATGGTTGTATAATATAAACCCTTAATATCGACCCGATTAATTTAAATTTGTATAAAGTCAATTTGAGGGAAAACACATTTTGTATATCAATCTACATTAGCTTACAATATTTACTTGATTTAATATTATGAGAAAATATTAATGAATTATAATTAAGTGATAGTATTAATTATAATTCAACAACGTTTGAATGGTCCCTTTATTCCTCAAACCGTGGAAGTGGTAATTCACTATTATCACAAAAGTTAACAAGATAAATTGAAAGCCCTTTCCTGCAGTCATAGAAAATTTAGAGGAGTGAATATGTGAAGAGAGTTATAATCACAAAGAAATTCAGACCTAACTTCTGTCATTTACATCAACTTCATAGTCTGTGTAATATTATTTTTATGCTAAAGAAATTGAATCAAATTTAGAAAAGTGCTTTTCAATCACCTAGAGGAATCAGACAGCAGTTACCTAAGCAAGTCATTAAGAAAATGCCAGCGACAAGGAAAATCTTAGTAAAGCTATTAGTATTAAATAGAAAAGACCTTGTGTTGTGTTTATCAAAGAAGAGTAAAGTGAATAAACAGTGAAGACTCACCTGGGAGGAAATAAAAGAGTTGAGGCAAAAAGCAAGAAAGATCAAAGAGGAAGTTTTATTGACAGCAAAAACATTGTTGAAGCCATAAGGCCAAGTCCTTTAAAGATAACATGCTATAACTGATTGAATTTTAGTATAAAACTTAAATCCACTATAAGAACTTTTTAATAAATCATGAAGGATAACAGGAATTGCTCACGACTTTTCCTTGCTGATCTAGTGCCAACATATATCTTCTCTACCAAATGGCAAACTTGTTATTCTTTACATAAATATTATATTTTGTCAATTATATATCAAATCGATTTCCTTTATTTATACATTAACTACCTCTGATTCTTTTAAATAAATTAGTTTCTAACGAGACTTTGTAGAAGAAGAAAAATAACTACTATCACAAGAAATATGAAAACTTATCACTGCAATACTTGTCAAAATGTGGGTTGATTTATCACTTGGGACAGTCCTATACTATCATAAATGGGAGCTCTAAAAATGTTTGACCCTTCCCCTGCAACTTCTGTTCTTTAACAGAGCACTATAAAATTGTACCGAAAGCAATATAAGATGTACATACAAAAATAACGGCTCATGTACCGATACACACACGTGTTCATTACATATAATCCAGATGTCCCATGTAAGCCGAGCTTATTAGTTCTGCCACTTTGTATTTGCTTCCTTCTTCACTCCTCTCTTTTCCTCTTCTGATTGTATTCTTCTTCCTAGGGCTATTTCTTACCCTCTTCTTCTCTATGTTCTTGCTTCGTTTGTCCATGAATTGTTGCATGTAGGTAACTTCTTTTACTTTATTATTTGATAAAAAATTGAGATTTTAACTAAATATGTAAAGATGCCTACTACATATGGCCAATAGGGCCTTAGACTATCTCACAGGGTGTAGTCGGCCAGTTAATATTTACTTCACAAACAACCCAATTAGGAAATTACCAAGTCCCATGCATTTTGATCTATCGATCCACTTGTGATGCTAAATAATTATGGTGTTTTACTAATTTTACGGAATACCTGTCGTCTTCCACCTGAGAAGCAATTTTAACTACTACTTGATAACTTCCCACATCATATTTTGGACAAAATGATCAAGAAAGTATCATGCTCATGAATTAAGATTAATAATGTTAATCATTATAGATAGTAAAAAGGATCCAAGATTGTAAAAAGTTCTGAAAGACAGACGGATCTTCTCTCTTCTCTGGTAACCTATAAAGCCCTAATCTTCAGAGTTGCCCCGATTTAAACATTAAGACTTTGAATAATTTACCAAGACTAAAACCCTAGTAATTTAATTGAAGCGTAAATCATTTAATTTGTTTCGTCAATTTCTTTTCCATTCATTTTACAGGCAATTTCAAGAGAAAATAGAAAACGTTATTCAGATGTATCTGCAGGCATATCATAAAATATATAAAAAGAATCAGTGTGCATAACATTTTGTGATCAATCAAAATGTGCGTATCTCAGAATACAAATATTTTATAGAAAAAGAAAACAAACATACTTATGAATAAGTGAAATTAAAGATATATAGTTTAAGAGGAAATGACAATAGGGTTGCGGACCGTCTCAACTTCAAGGCTTCGAAAACTTCATTTGAAAGTGTCGCGCCCCAAAATCTTCAAGCACACAAGAAGAGAGATGATACATGTAAAGAGTGAACAAGAGAGAGAAGCATCAGAAAAATTTGTGAATACAAAATGGAGCTACCCAAAAGTAGATGAAGAGAAATAAGGATACACGTGGTTGCTTAAGAACTAAAGAGCAAACACGTGTTAAATAGTCACATATAGATCCAAGTATATAAATTACTATAAAGTACACATTTCTTAGCTTGTTGAACAATTTGTAGTGTTGTGTTAGTCCCCTTAACTCCCACTTAACTCCCACTTCTATATAGTGTATGTATATGTATGTGTATATATATATACTAGTGACGAAGAGCCCGTGCAGCACAAGGGCTCAATATCTATTATGTTTTGTCCTAATGTATGTGATACAGATAAAATATAGTGAGTTATTTAAATTTACCTATATTACTGGTCACTTTGTCCTAATTTATGTGATATGGATAAAATTACAAAATTAACCCTTTTAAAATGTCTTTCAGATATTTTAAGTTGTTAATTATTATTATTTATAATACTTTTTTGATAATTTTAAAATGATATATGTTATTTTTTCTGTCCCAATATATGTGACCCTGATAGAATTCTGAGAGTCAACCTATTTTATTATATA